CCCGTCTGGAGGGCAGAGTCCGCTTGGAGACGGCGGCCTGGGATTCCTCGCGGGCCATTTCGACTATTGATACAGATCATCAGCGCGGTCCGCTTCGATTCGCCATCTGTAGGAATACATACCGTGAACAAAGACAGCGGCTCTCTTGCCGCTGAACATGGCATGCGGCACGTTGGTGCTTCCATCGCTATTGGCGTCGCCGACAGCGAAAACACCGGCCATGCTCGTCCGCATACCATTGATGTTGGTGTCGATCTTGTTACCCTGCATCTTCAATCCCAGGTCCTCGGGAATGGTCGAGCGCTGCTCGGAGGGAAAATTGGTAATGAAGGCATTGCGGTTGACGGAGGTGCCATCCGCGAGGTTGACCTTGAAGAGGTCGAACTGGCGGCCCTTGTCATCGTGGACTTCCTCGCCGTCCTGCAGGCGCTCGATGGATTCGATGGTCTCGTTGTTCAGCGCGATGTTGTACGCCTCCAGCTGCTTCTTCCAGTTGGGATACTTCTCGGCGAGCGCGGCCTCGGTCTCGGGGGTCTGGGTGCCGTTCACGAACGCGATGATGTCTGTGTTGAGCGTGTACACTTCCAGCACGCTGCCCACGACATCGACGAGGGAGCCCAGGATACCGAAGGGCTGGTCTCGGTGCTCCCAGCCATCGCACCAGGGGCACCAGTACACGCCTTTTCCCCAGGCTTCCTCCAGGCCGGGCGTGTCCGGCAAGATGTCCTTCATGCCGGTGCCGAGGATGAGCTTGCGGGCTGTGTAGGCTTCACCGGCCACCGAGGCACTGAAGTAGGTACTGTTGCTGTCCTCGTCGGTGATGATGATGACCGAGTCGACTTTTTCGTTAATCCAGGTGGTCTGGTTGTACTTGGAGATTTGGCTGCGGGCCAGTGCTCGGAAGTCGCTGGGGACGGTTCCTGATGAATACTGAGTGTTAGTCCGCACAACCTCGTATATTGAAGATCGAGGAAGAGGGGCGTTTACCGTCGTTGCCGATGACATCGTGCATGTTCCTGGTGGGAGCATTGCGATACTCGCCCGAGTCAAACAGGACGTTCTTGCGGCGCACCCGCGACAGACCACTGGCGGCGCTCAGACCAGAGGGGCCTCCACCGATGATCATCACCTCATAGTCAGTCTGGGGGACAGAAGCCGCCAGGGCGACAGTGAGGGAGGAGAAGATGGTGTATAGAAGGGACTTGGGAGCCATCCTGACGACGAGGTAGAGAAACAGTGGAGGGAGGGAGGTCAGAACAGTGACCCAGGAAGACCCTATCCATGTGGGCTCAAGCACTGTTTAAATAGGCAAGCTGAGCAGGGCGAGAAGGAGACGAAGCACTGACCATAGGCATACGATGCAAGATAAAGTGATTGGTCGGGATTGGAATCGACATCGTGCATCCATCCTTTTTTTCCAGAGACTATCCAAGGAAAGAACCTCAGCTGCAGTGGCTGGCTGGGGAATTGGATCGACATTCCACATCCCCTGCACCTGCATCTGCATCTGCATAACCATGATGAGAACTTGGAAATCGACTTCGTACCACAGTCCACACGGGCGGGTAGGTTATATTGCTTTTTCTTCCTGGATATCCAATTTTGTTGACTTGATGAGGTTATCCATAGGTCCGCTGGCCTTCTAAGTAGAGGTGCAACGAAATGTCAGACAGTGTACGGAGTAGACGCAAACAAAATTTGTGGAAGAAGGATTGACAGTAACACAGACCAGTGATCCGTCTGGCAATATCCATGGCAATGATGGCATAAATACCAGCTTAGAGGAGGGAACACCTGCCTCTTGTCGATCCGAGCAGCGAAGCAGGCATGTCTGTGACACCTCCGCAGTTTGCATACATAGTGAATCCACAGCAGGAGAGTGAGTGATGATCAGCTTCAATAATGAAGCAGAGAATGCATTTAATCAGGGGTTGGTACCGCAATTGTGTAAGTTCGAGGAGACAATATCCAGATACAGTCACCAGTGAAGGAGGAAGATCAGCAGGGCTGAAAATCAATAGTTTGGCCACAGACATGCACATCTTCCAGTAGTCAGTCTACTGCTATGATTGATGGAGCATCGAATCAAGTTTTCAAGTTGATCTGAGCTGTGATTACAAAAGTAGTCATCTATGTCTTTTGAATTTGGTTTTGTTCCCTTACTCCATAGAGGGATAACAACCACAAATTCACGATATATATTCAATGATGATGGATTGGTCACACAAGTCGCAATCCAGTCAACTGCACAGTCGAGGTGATATTACTATTGACTATATTGATTAAGATATATGCACGCCATTGAGCAGTACATCAATCGCTTCAAGATGAACATGGCAAAAATAGACAATATAAACAATCCAACCCCCTCCTGATGCGATAAACCTAAACATTTGCAGGGGAGAAAGTCAGATACCAGGTCAATGCGGGCACTTCAAGCAAGCACTGCAGCCCTTCAGAACCAGCCGTGAGGTCGGTAGCTGTACGAACGGCGAATGCGGGATGCAGTCTTGCCCAACGCTTGGGCGACGCCATCGAGGAAGCCCTTGTTGCCGTAGGCCTGCGTGACGTCCCACATCATCACGCCGCCAAAGCTGCTAAAAGTCTTGCTGTATTCAATAATCGGCTTCAGAGTCTCCACGGGCACATAGCCTGAGCCTGCCGCCCCAGTGTTGGCGGGCACGCCGAGGAATACCTTGGCTTTCTTGTTCTGAGACACCGTCTTGGCCCAGTTGTCCCAGACGTCAAAATCGAAGCTACTCTGCTTGTCCGCTCCGGCCTCAAACGAGTTCAATCCACACCAGTTGTTGTAGAATTGGACGAACACAGCATCAATGGACACCGGTCCATTGAGTATATCCTTATCGGCGGCGTCGGGGTACGGGCATTGGGGTGCAGCCGTTAAGAAATACTGTTTGCTATGATCGGCATCCATCAATTCGCGAAGCCTGTTCGCGAAGGGAGCCATATTATTGACGGTGGCTTCGAAATCGAAGTCAAACCCGTCTACCGTCGCATTCCCGAACGGCCGACGGGCCGTCGCGTTGACGGACGGGGGTCCAAAGGTCTGCCAGACCAACTCGGCACCAGCCTTTGCAGCGGATTCAGAACTGAAGCCTCCTTCGCTGTACGTGGCGCCGCCAATAGAAAGCAGAATGGTCTTTCCTTTCTTCTGACACGTCGTGATATCCGCCCTGAACGGGCTGTTAGCGTTTCAGCTGTAAGGAAAGCACAACAGCCCGGAGCTCACCCAATCTGAGGGCAATTGCGAAGGTTGCTATCTTTGAAGATTGTACAATTGTCATTCGCATTGGAAAAGTCGATTTCAGGAACGCCACCCTGGCCGTTGATTCTCATGAGAAATGCGAGTTCAAGAACCTGAAAAGCATCGTGAGTCAAAGCATCATCCGAGCTTGATATCATCCCATACATCAATCTTAGGATCTAGTGAGGTTTTCATTAGCATATTAGCCTGGAATTATTCAACATCTTTGACTCACCATCACAGTAAAACGAAAGACGCTGCTGCGCCAAATCTCCAGTTCCCCGAAAAGAATTCTGACCTGTGACCGACAACACGTTTACCAGATCAGTCAACGATTCCCAATAGTGCACAGAGGCTGAGACATACCCCAGTATACAGCGACGTTGGAGGAAGACGAGAGTTCGAGTTTGGCATACACTCCTTCCAGAGAAGCTGCCGCTGCCGTCAAGGCAAGAAGTTGTTTTAGAAAAGACATGGTGGAAAGGACAGACAGCTCGAAGTATTTCCAGCGAAAGAGTGAAATGACTTGTCTACGAAGTCAAAAGAGTGCAGGTAGTATTTCAAAAGACAGGACAGGGCTGAAGAAAGCCCCCGAGGTTCTAGTACCGACTGGATGAATCTGATAGAATGGACATCAGTACAAAATCAAGCGATTGTTCGAATCGAAAATGACAGACCTACTTATAGCTCATTATTGCCATTGTCGATGTCAGTTGACCGAGGCTTTTTCCCCTTCGACTGACCAGGCATTCCTTCCTCTCGGTGCCTTCGATCTTTGGAAGTGTCATACTGTCAGCTCACCAAAACAGAATGCCAGATTCAATCAATAAGCCTGTTTTCCAGGTTTCCCGCTCCTTAGATTGCTGCAGACACGGGCCATAGCATTCCAGAGGCGTTGTCGGGGGACTCATGCTGCCCGAGGAATGCTGGAGTTTCTGTTTCGGGATATAAACTTGCAATATCAGTGACAACTGATAACGTACGCTGACGACGCTCGTAGCTGGGGACAAGCTTAGAGAAATATTTGAAGGTACGGACTAAAGTGTGTGCGCAGTTCGTCAGTGAAGTCAAAGAACGCGGTGTTGCATCAGATCTCAGCCGTTATCACAAGAGAGACAGGCGACGGAGAATGTCGACTATCGATGGAGGATCAGGATTAAGGCCGAGGCGCTGCCAAGCTCATGTCTTCGGTATGCAATCTCGTCATGAGGACGTTCCTTGAATATATGCCCATGTGCCGTGCTACCTCTGCCCGAGGACAAACACAGAATCAAAGCTATGCCGTCATACGCGGCAAGGAGGAGACGCATTGAACTGCTAACATGTTCCCTGAGACGATTCCTCGCAGGGAACGAGTACTGATAAATCAAGCCACTGTTGTCACTTCCACTGTTTCATGCTTCATGAGCTTTTGCTGTTCTGCATCAGCGTTGAGACGTTGATGGACATCACATTTTCACATGCTCAACCAGATGGTACATGCAGGGAATGTCTCCTATGTGATGATCATTAGGTTGGGTCAAGAAAGTTCAAGGTGCCAGAGCTCAAAAGTATAAAGCAATAGTAGTCGTGGTGATGAACCACGAAATGAAACAAGGCGAGAAGCGATGTGTATAGTTTGAAGAAAGACGTGATTTGTGTTCCGTGTTCTCTAGACATATTCACCATGCGGTTTTGCACTCTACTGAAGATTAAGCGACATATTCATGCTTGTAACCCACATGGCCCTGGGAGATCACCGAGGAATTCCAATCACCCTCGTGGCGGCTTCATCGTTCGACATCCCAGAGTCAATGACTCCAGCGACCTTGAGCACGTCCACAACACCGTCCACAACCTTCCGGTCCACGCCCCTTGTACTGCCGGTAAATCTGACATCCTTCAGCCACTCCTTTGCATCTTCTTCAATGTATGTGCATCCCAGTTCTCCTGTACCCAGAAGCCTCACAACCTGATCGTGATTGGCCTGGAATTCCTTGATACCTTGGTCCAGCACATGAAACAATTGCTGGAGTTTCTCGTCATGTTCGGGGTCAGGGAAGACTGAGGTGGATGCGACAATAAGCCAGGACGGCCATGGGGTGAATATCTCACCGATCTTCTTCAGTGGCGGGTGAGGCTTGTCTAAGGTCGCGTGGAAGTACGGTTTTGTGGTAAAATGTTCCCACATGAAGAATTCAGCCGAGGGCGCGGGAGGCTGATCGGGGTGCGAGGCATCGTACCCTGTCACCCCATTCCGCAAAGCCTGGAAGGGACCAAGGACAACCGGTGTCAAGGAGTCGGGCTTCCAGCCGTGCTTCTGTGCCAGCACAAAGGACATGATATGGGAGCCACTGTAATGGCAAAACAAGGTCAGTCATCTATCCCAAGGAATCACGTCCAAGACAACTCCACTGACCTTCCGAGACGGCTGACACCAACTCTCTTATCCTTTAGATCTGCAACAGTGTGAAGCTCCTCTCGCTCCCGGCCGGTGATAATCGCCCACCGCAGCGGTGTATCAACCCAATGGCCAACCACCTTGTAACCCCCCGAGGCAGCATCCTTCTGAGCCTGCTGCTTACCAGCTAACCCAGCAATCCATCCCTCGGTCAGCCCAATTGCGATATCAATCTCCTTCTCCCGAAGGGATGTGATCATGTGCCCCGTTCCGGAGGGGAACGGAGTCAACGTGATCTTGAATGGAAGAGAGGAGGCGGCTGGCGAGCGAAGGGCCAGGTGGAGAGGAGCGAGGTAGTGCTCTACATGTCGTCAGAGAAGATTTTCAATGCAGGTATCGAGATAACATATGCGATGACACCCAAATGAGGGGTTAATAACTATGCTGACAGTTGAGGATGTTTTTATGTAACGGAATCATCGGCACCACGGTTTGCGCCCATTACGTCAAACGACAAGCAGAGCAGATGACTATGGGGGAAGGATTGCTTACCTGGCACGTAGCCAATTTGGATTGAGGCCATGATTGGAGTAGTTATTGTCTATCAATTGGAATAGGCGAGCGATAGTGATGTTACTTTTTATTTGACTTTTGACGAGGAGACAAGACAGGCTTGTTTTCTAAGCAGCGGGGTAGCCGCGGGGGAGCCCTTTTTTTTATCATCGCTCAGGCCAGCAGTTATCAGTGGTCACGTAACGATGGAGTAAAGCCCGTCGTCCGCTGAATGTTATTCGCTTCTGTGCAATAGGTAGTAATTACAGGGAAAGGACACTTCAATAAATCAGGACAATCATGAATTAGTCTATTCCGTTCTACATCTCTATATCAAGTCGACCTCGCGCGCAAGGTCTGTATTAAGTATATATCTACAATGCATCATGCTCTCGTGGGCATATCAAAAGGCCGTCATCATAACTCAGGTCATCCGTATATCTTTCTCCTCGGCTGGCCAGCTGGCGTTGTTATGCCTAGGGCTGCCCGCAGCCCTGAGTGTATGGCGCGAATACATCCAGAATTGCACCCCGAGGTAGAGGTCACACACGCACTGGAACATACCACACAACCGAAAGGCCCAGGGAATCACTTCTTTGCTGCAGAAGAAGTAACTCATTTTCATGACATCACCAAGAATCCAAGCTGCCAGCACCGAAACCCGGAATCCTTTGCACGAACGAGTCCGGTGATTGGCAATGATCTGAGGGAGAGGCAGGATAGCTTCTACAGCCAGACCAGCATAGCCCAGTAGGTTCACGTAGAAGTCCGATTCAGCGATGGGCGGCAGAAGGATCTGGACGAATGATAGCGCCCCGACGAAGTAGGCCAAGAACATCCAGTACCTATGTAGACCCAAACGTCAATTAGCATCGAACCCGCAGACCACGTTTAGAAAGCTATCGGGAACAAAGACGTACGGCTTTGCGGACTTCCACTGCCAGAATTCGTATGGTCTGACAGACCCCTTCTCATCCAAATTGCTAAACGGAACATGCTCCACCCCATTTTTCACACCCGGCGACGGCCGGTTATCCAACGCAACTTTGAGCAAGACGATCTGGACCCCAATCATGATCACCGCTTGTACGAGCAGCGAGAGCGAGTAGTAGTGACCAAACCAGTAAAACACTCTAAAAACAGGAATGTTAACGTCATTGTGCATTGAATGAGCAGCCGCGGTTAACACTTGGGCCTTTCTTACTTGAGGATGGATGCGACGAGCATGATCAAAGGGATGTCGAGGGAGAACCCCCCCGAATTCCTTGATCGATGTATACTGAGAATCTGATCCGTATAGGACGTGAGGGGGGAAGTGATAAGACTATTTCACGCGAATGTCCAGCAGTCAGCATTCCGATGCCACTTGAAGACCTCGATCGCTGACTAGCTCCCCGAAGGATCTGAGCTACGATAAATGGGAACATACAACATGGGGGCTCCATATTCAAGAGCCAGCGATATGAGATACATGGTGCATCCAATCAGTGAAAAAGAGTATCCGATGTCAAGAAGATGGTCGTAGCTGTTGATCGAATCGCTTGCTGAGTGCTCTTTGCAGGAAGCGGGACCTCGCGGATTCTAGAGAAGAATGATGATTGAGCGGTGATTTAGGGGTCGTCCAAAAGCAGAGATGACCGATGAAAGGATACAACAGGATCCAGTAGACTCAAGAGCTCTCCATGAAACGAGGATGTCTAATATATCGAGCAGGTTGAATCCAGGATGCTTATCGCAATGCGCAACATAAAATAATGGGACAAAGCCAAGCACTCTTGCAGAGATCAATCACGAATAGAGTCCTTAGAAAAAGAAGTGCCATGGCCGGAAGCGTCTTGTTTTCGCTTTTCCTGCGGATCTGCTTAGTTCAGCGGCCCCATGACGCTTTACCTATTCTGGCTTAGGGCACTTTTGTCTATTCCTCGTTGCCTGGAGTTTCAGGCAACACATGCTCCTAGTTGTGAGATGAGATTTGAGCTTCGATGAAGTAGGTAGTATTATTCCCTGCCTCCTGCGCACTAGCATCATGAAATACAGGCAAACAGGGATATGATTCACATTGCATGGTGTATGTTTGTCATTCAAATCATGTATATATATACTCCGGTGTGACAAATTCTAGAACTCAATCTTCCATGTCTTTCCAATGCCAACATTGGGGTTCTTCACCACAGCATACGGGGCCTTGCCAGCCTGCTGGGCGTGATACTCCAAGGGAGCGGTAGAAGCCATCTTTGCGCCGTCTTCGATGACGGTCACAGACGCCCTTCCCTGCCACTCCTTGGGAGCGTCGACGACAACCACCTTTTCAACCCGAACATTCGCCAGGCTCTTCAGGTACTCGGCTGTCTTCGAACCCTTGGTTCCGATGTCTTCCGACGAGAGGGTGGATTTTTCAAATCTGAGGCGGCGATGAATGTATCCACCCTGCTCGTAGTTGAACGTTTCCCCATCATCAACATAGAGTGTACCTTCGGCCTCTCCGTGCTTGTCGAGGATGATCACAAGCGTATAAGGATCCCACTTCATCAATCCGCTGCTGCGACGTGCGCGGTCCTTGCGAGGGATGATATGACCACCCTGCATCAACAACGGGACCTTCTCAATGGGGGCAGGCACCGTATGTCTCTTGCCCGCTCCTTGGTAGACAGTATAATCATAGTAATCGTAGTACTTCTCATCATCAGCGATGTAGATGTCTGCGGTGGTGACGCCCTCCGCGACAACAGGTTTGGTCAGTAGGCCAGTAGATCCAAGGTAGAGTTGGTCATCAATGGTAAAGCCTTGTTCGTCCGCCGGGTGGACATAATACTGGGGCCGGACAATGGGCATTCCATTCACCGAAGCTTCATGGAATGCAGTGTACCATGCAGGCAGCAGTTGATATCTCAGACGGATAGCCTGGGATATGATCGACCTGAATGGTTCAGCGATCAAGTAGGGCTCTCGTCTGCGAGTGTCGATGTGCGCATGCGCACGGAAGAAGGGATACCAAATGCCGGTCTGATACCACCGGGTCAAAAGTTCTTTGCTTGGGTTCTGGAAAAACCCGCCAACGTCGGCCCCGGCAAACGGGAACCCGGCAATGCCGTTGTTCAAAACCATAGGCAGGGACGCGGCCAGGTGTTCCCAAGTGGCTTGATTGTCTCCCGTCCACATAGCAGACACCCGTTGAGCCCCAGCGTAGAATGACCGCGTCAAAACAAAGGGCCTACGAACCACGCCTTTCTTTCGCTCCAACATGGCATTGTATGTTGCGTTGACAAAGGTCAGTCCGTTGACATTGTGCACGTCGCGATGTTCCCAGTTGCCATGGTGCATGTTGTCCTTGGGCATAGTGGTTTCCGGCCCATTGAAGACGGAGGGTTCATTCATGTCATTCCAAATGAAGACGTTCGGCTGGGTGCCCTTGAATTTGTCGTATTTGAACAAGCCAGTCCACCATTTGATTGCTTCGGGGTTAAAACAGTCCACCCAGTGAGATGAGCCAGGCCAACACCAGCCTTCGTAGATCTCCCCGTTCTTACTCTTGGTAGCGAGATCCTTGCTCTTCAGCTCTTCAGAGATGGAGTATCCCTCCTTGCTTTTAATGTGAGGATCAATGATCACCACGAGTTTGCGCTCAGAGTCATCAAGCTGCTCTTCCATACCCTTTGGGTCAGGGAAAGTCAGAGGGTCCCAGGTAAAATACTTCCTGTCATCCGTGTACTCAATGTCGAGCCAAATCACATCGTAAGGGATCTGATACTTGTCAAACTTGCGATCGACTTCCTTGACATCCTCGTCAGTGACATAATTCCACCGACACTGGTGGTAAGCGATGGCGAACTGTTGAGGTAATTGTGTGTAGCCGGTAAGTTCACCGTAAGTCTTGCTGATCTCTTGCGGAGTGGGACCCAAGAAGACGAACAAATCAATACGTCCAGATTCGGAAAACCAGTGTGTTTGAGTGTCTGTCTTTGAACCCACTCCAAGAGAAAGAGGGTTGGGCGAGGACTTTGACTTGACAATGTCGACCCAGGTCTCAGCAGCGTTGAGCCAGAAGACACCCACAGTAGAGTCCTTCCTGTGGGCTTGCATGAACGGGATGGCGCCATAGAGGGTCATGGGGCTGTTGAGCTCATACTCAAAGACGTCCGAATTGTACATGCGATAAGGTTCCTCATGGTTTCCATCACCGCCCCTTCAATTTGGTCAGCTTTGCGTCTCTAGAGTGGCGGGGACATGTACGACCTACCTAGTTTCTTTCAGAGACATCGAGTCGGCATGCTCTGGAATTCCAAAAACATGGCTGTAGCCAGGGAATGTGATGTCCAGGCCGATACTCTCTGGGCCTCTCGGCTTGGAGTCGGTGTTTCCACCAAAACTTTCCTCCCACCAGGTGCTTTCATCTTGCTGAGATCCTGGTTTTTCCTGGTCATTGCCACCCTCTGCCACATCCACCTTTGGCCGCCAATGTTCCATGTTGAGGTAGCCCTTGTTATTCACTTGGACATGGCTCTGGCCATCGCGTCGAAAATCGACGCTGAATGGTGCATGGCGAACGATCGCGTGAAACTGTTTATCCGGACCGTACAGTACCTTTGTGAATCCAGTCTCGGATTCTGGATCCACAGCGGCAGTTTTGCTCGATTCTAAGCCACCAACCAGCGCCCATTTCTCTGCTTCGTTGTATCGCTCCTTGCGCGCTTGGCTATTGTGTCGGAGTTCAATTTCGCCCTTCATCCGTTTCTCTTCGTCGACCACGATGCGCGCAGCTCCAGACTCCAGGAAAGAGATCGCAAGTGGCAGCTTGACTTTCTCATTGGCAGATATCGACTTGAGAATTGTCCCTTGCAATTGGCCGTCTTTGAAGTAAATTGAAGAGGGATCGAGTTCATATGGTGAATTCCAAGACGCGCCTTGGGCGGAGACGTCATCTGCGAATGCTCGGTTCCGCTTACAGAAACCCGATTGAGAGCATTTCTTGAAGTTCTCATGCTTCACAGTAACTGGCGGACTTAGTCAGATGACGATACAATTGGAATACCTCGAGTGCATAGAGCTCACCTCCGGGTACAATAAGACACCCAAGAAGGACGACCAACGAGAGCAGTAGCGTCCATCTGGTGAAAGCCGATCTGCTCGAGGCCATGTTTGAGCGAATCGATGCAATCAGAGACACTCAACCTCTGAAAGTACCGTAGTTACAAAACTTTCTGTGCTGACCTGCATCTACTAGAGGTGGAGGCTAACACAAGCAATCATGAAGAGAGGAATATTAATAGATAGATACCGCAGGCGATGATTCCAGGCTGGCCAGATTGGCAGATCGGGGGGAATTCGGGGTAAGCTAACATCCAACTTGGGTTAGGCTGGCACTAGTACTAAATGGGTAGCTACTAAGGTAGCTGCTGAAACCTGAGGCATACAGGCAAGGCATTCAGGCATCAAGCCATGGATTTGGCCTGCCCCTCCTGCCCCACTCTGCGTTGCAGTCCCCTCCTTATAATAATTTCGCCAACTCACCGAAAGTCTACCTCTTTTTCTCTCTCTTGAGCTGTTAACCAACCTCAATCGTTCTCCAGTATCTCCATCATCTCTTATCAATCTCTCGAAATGTCCAACGAGCAGACGTAAGTTGACATATTCCATCCCACTTCCGTGCTCAATCCCAAGTTTCCCCTTCTTCTTTTTCCCCTTATTTTCCCCCGACGCTGCTTCGGGGGTTGTCCTCTCATCTATGCGAGTAAAGCTAATCAATTCCTACAGCTTCATTGCCATCAAGCCCGATGGTGTCCAGGTATGAGACTATGACCGTCTTGCTGATGTTCAATGGACATCACTACTTCGAATGAGCACGGGACTGACTTTGTCATCCTTCAGCGCGGACTCGTCGGCCCCATCATCACTCGCTTCGAGAACCGTGGGTATGTTTTTCCTACGACTCAATAACTATTACTCGCTCTAACTGTGCACAGCTTCAAGCTCGTTGCCATGAAGCTGGTCTCTCCTCCCCAGTCCCAGCTTGAGCAGCACTACGCCGACCTCTCCGACAAGCCCTTCTTCAAGGGTCTTGTTTCCTGTGAGCTTTCCCTTCACATCCGAAACTTATTGTATCTCTCTTCATGATGGTGACTAACCACTACATATAGACATGCTCAGCGGCCCCATCTGCGCTATGGTCTGGGAGGGCCGTGATGCCGTCAAGACCGGCCGTAGTAAGTTCCCGTCAATCAATCGATGTGTTTCAGGTAGGGGACGGGCATATGCTAATGGTGCGACAATAGCCATCCTCGGTGCCACCAACCCTCTTGCCTCCGCTCCCGGCACCATCCGTGGTGACTACGCTATCGTAAGCTCAATTCGGACCCCAATATCAGGGTATTTCGCTCACATTGCATTAGGACGTCGGCCGCAACGTCTGCCACGGTTCCGACAGCGTCGAGAACGCCAGGAAGGAGATTGCCCTCTGGTTCAAGCCTGAGGAGCTCATCTCCTGGAAGAGCGCCGCCTTCGACTGGATCTACGAGAAGGCTTAAATTTCTCCGTTCGATCTTTTTGCTAGACATCTGCAATCCGTTACAGCTGATGGTGTAGGAGGCAGTGTAGACATACACCAGAAAAGTCCCTCGAGAAATAAAAATATACAGGACACCTACGGTGCCAATGGCCTCACTTGCTTCTCGTACCCTTCCACCGGAATCTGGGAGTAGTGCAGATGATTTCCCTTGTGGAGATATTGCATACAAGGTTCTATCACAAGCTACTTTTTCCTAAGGAGAGCCCCGACGCCTCTACCTACCGGAGCGAGAACAGATCTCGCAAACCATGGCGTTGCCCACACACTAGCGACTATCCGTACGGGTAGTAGAGCTTTGGTGATCGCATAGGCAGTCGCGAACTCAAGCACAAGGCGAACGCCTTTTCTATCCTCCGGTCTCAATTGGGATTGACCGGGCAATTCAGTAGTAGAATCATTGCCGGGAGCAGACTCATCAGACTTCACAATATCCACGTCGGCATCCTCCACCCAGCCTTTCTTTCGCAGCCAGCGACCGAATCGTCGAACTCCTTCGTCGAAGGCGCTATTTGAGGTGAAATCCGGCAACCAATCGCCATAATGGAACGTAGCGACCAGCCCGAACAAAGGAACAATGGCTGTAATTTCGTGTAGTATCAGAAATGACGTGATATGTGTGCCGGGTGCCCCCAGTAACGGGTTCGTATAAGAGCGTAAAAACCGCGGAAGGCGATCATTCAGCCTGTGGAGACGAGAGCGGTAGTCATTGGGACCTGTTGAGGGCGGAGTCGCCAGGCCACGCCGCAAGCGAGAATTGGAGCGCAACGATGGACGAAAAAAGCGTGAAGTCGCTGATGAACGCCGTAAAGCCATCTCAGCCAAGCTCTCGATGCCCAGTCAGGCCCGGCGTGGACTTGACTTGTTATTGCGAGATCAACTGAAGCAGAGAAGGTTCAATGCTGGCTCGTGAGCAGGCTTTCAGTTCCAACTTCAGAGATTATCTCAGCGACATATCAATGGCATTTCTGACTCTAGTAGAATCTTCAGGGCTGGCCCTCGATTGATGATTCCTCATCACCTTCAAGCGAACGAATTCTCTTACTGCGACGTCGAAGGAGCTTGGAGAGGTTTGCCTTGTTTGCACTCTGGCCAGCAGTGTCCGATGCCAGGAGACGAGACTATTGCTGCGTCTCGGAAACGAAATGTTGAAGGATGATAATGAACAATCTGATGATCCCAGGACGTAGCAAGTGTCATGCTCTACCTCATAGATTCCTTGAGATTGAATGAGCTGTAATGGTCGACCTCAATCTCTCTTTCTACTGGCCATGGTCGGCAATCGTGCATGCTTCCATATCCGTTGATCGGAGGGGTCAAACAAGTCCGACCCGCATAGCGCTGGCTCAAGTTCTCCTCCATCAACTTCAATCATCCCCCGCTATTTTCCTCACGACAGAGGAGAAATTCGGGCCAAAATGGAGAAGATCACTGACAAGATTGCGGCATTGCCGCCAGACGAGAATTACTTTTCTCTCGAGTTCTTCCCTCCCAAAACGCAGATGGTGGGGTATCCCCGCACTCGTTGACTCTTGTGGCGATGCGACCAGTTACTGATGATATTTTGAATATTGTAGGGCTTCGCCAATCTACAGGCTCGTTTAGAGCGCATGGCACAAGCGCTACGTCCCTTGTTCGTTACTGTCACTTGGGGTGCCGGTGGAAGTACTGCTGCCAGGTCGCTGGAGCTGGCAGAAATCTGCCAGCGTCAATTGCAGTTGACAACATGCCTTCATTTAACATGCACGAATATGAGTCGAGGGTTGATCGACAAGGCCTTGGAGGAGGCGAAGGTCCTCGGAATCCGAAACATCCTGGCGCTTCGCGGTGACCCGCCACGCAGTGAAGAGTACAACATGCACGGAGAAGACGATAGTAACAAAGACTTCACGTTCGCGGTGGACTTGGTACGATACATTCGCAAGAAGTACGGGGATTACTTCTGCCTGGGCGTCGCTGCATATCCTGAGGGGCACCCGGTCGATTCTTACCAGGACGTACAGGATCCGGTCAGGGATCTACCGTATCTGGTCGAGAAGACCCAGGCCGGTGCGGACTTCATCATGACTCAGTTGACATACGACATCGATGCCTACACAAAGTTTGAGAAAATGCTACGAAACCACGAGTCCGGTGCCTTTAAAACAATCCCAATTATCCCTGGGTTGATGCCTATTCACAGCTACAAGATTCTGACAAGAACCACGAAACTGAGCCATGTCCGGATTCCGCCGCCGATCATGTCGAAACTGGAAGCAGTGAAACACGATGACGATGCTGTGAAGCGCATCGGCGTTGATGCTCTAAGTGATTTAGTGGAGGCTATCCGGAAGATACCCTGCCCTGGGTTTAGAGGCTTCCACTTTTACACGCTGAACCTTGAAAAGACAGTTTCTTTTATCATCGAACGATGTGGTTTGATACCTGATGATCCTGAAGACTCTGATGCTGTTGCAGACGACGATTACGCCACTGCTCCCACTGGAGTTCAGATTCGTTCTCTATACCGGCGCAGGGCTTCCTCCATCAACTCACAGCCACATAACCGTGTCATTGTCGACAGGTTACAGATGCCCTCTGATAACTCATCGAGAGCGTCGACTACACATGAGGCGCCCGCCACTAGTGCGGGAATGCCTGCGATGCCCCCAGATCGCAACACAACGCTCCAGATTTCGGAGGGTCTTGGAGCGCTCGGCAGAGAAGCAACGTGGGACGATTTCCCTAACGGTCGTTGGGGCGACGCTCGCTCGCCGGCTTTCGGAGAGATTGATGGGTACGGTCCTTCGCTACACGTTTCGGCCACAGTCGCCCGGCGCATTTGGGGCTATCCTATGTCACGCGAAGACATAAGTACACTATTCCGTCGCCATGTCTCTGGCGACCTCTATATCGTTCCCTGGTCCGAAGGAGGGGCCGAAGAGAACAGCAGTGGCTTGAATGCTGAGACAGCAGTCATCCGACCCGAGTTACTGAAGCTCATTGACGGCAAAGGCTGGTGGACTCTGGCGTCCCAGCCGGCTGTCAATGGCGTCCGAAGCGACGATCCAACCTTTGGGTGGGGTCCTCCGGGTGAGGGCTTCGTCTTTCAGAAGCCATTCGTTGAATTCTTCTGTCCTACCAAAGACTTCCAGACGGTGCTCAAACCACTCTTCGCAAAGCACGGCCATGAGAAGCTCGCATGGTTTGCAACCAACGCGAAGGGCGAATTCGATTCCTCTCTTCCCGCCAACCCTGCCGATGCCGATACCATCGAGATGAATCCTAACAACGTCAACGCTGTGACGTGGGGTGTCTTCCGTGGCAAGGAAATAGTCACTCCAACCATCATTGAAGAAGTGAGCTTTAGGGCCTGGGGCGAAGAGGCGTACCGTATCTGGGATGAGTGGCGCCGGATCTATCCCCGTGGTACCCCGAGTGAGCGCTTCCTTGACGAAGTCAAGAACGATGTTTGGCTTGTGTGTGTCGTGGGGCAGGACTTTGGAGCCGGTACAGAAAACGGATCGGAAGAAGAACAGCACGAGACCAAGTGGATGTGGGATGTGTTGATCAACAGCCAGTGAGGTCTACAAGTACCTAGTTTGCAGGACGATCCGATCGTACTCAGAGTCGGAACAAGTCTGCTCGATTATGACAGGTGAATTTCGCCATGAGCATATCATGTTTTGGCGTCGTCTGCTACCGGGATCAAACATTTAGCTCTTTTGTACTTATGTGTGGAATGAACATTGAATGATATAGAAGAAATGAAGTGAATCTAAATTCATCCAAAGAAATATACACGAGGAGAATCCAAGTCAGTCGATGTGTGGATGATGGTATATGTTACGAGCAGCTCTAGCCATCATCCTCGAATGATAAATAATAATGCCTTGACCATGAAAGATAGAACAAGACCAACGCCACGGCGCCAGAAGCCTGTATTACGCTATTTTTTTGGACCTCTCCCTTTGAAAGGATATTAACCATCACTGATCGTACGTACCTCCATCCACTCGTGATCTTTCTAAAAGGAACCACACCATATCTAAAAATTCTAAGAGGAGGTTTTCTGCGCAAAGCCATGTGCTTCTAGTCCATCAGCGCCCGTATCTGGCGTGGCAATGGACGATTCCGACTCTGCGAATTTCTCCGCCGCGTCATCGAGGCGACCATACACGCGAGGGAAGCGTCGGGGTTGGTGAGGTCCAGCAGCGGGGAGTTGGTGGCCACGGAGTCTGTATGTCCGGAAGGGTTAGTGGATCAGACGATGGTGGATTTATGCAATTCCGAGAGTTATACGCACCTGGGGCCCTGGCCGGTTTTCTCTGGTAATTCTGGGGCATAGATCCGGTGAAACGTATCGGCGTCTGTGTCGAAGGTTCCTCGCTCGATACTCTCTCTGATAGCGGAGAAGAACTTGTCCATGGTGTGGTGGTTATGGATCTGGAGTAATGTCCATGCGAGCATTTCCTTTGCGGATAGTAGATGGTGGATGTATGCGCGGTGGTGGTTTTTGCATGTGTAGCACTCGCAGGACGCGTTCAAGGGTGCTGTGTCTACTTTGTACGAAGACGACCACAGGTCAAATGCGAGAGGTCGAGGTTCGCTTGCAATCGTCTCCGCTGTGGATGGGTAAGCAAGGGCTGGAAAAGTGAAATCCAAGGCTATCCCAGCGTCCGAGGTAGCGCCCAGGAAAGGAACGGTGAAAACATCGGCGCCGAGAGATACCTGACGCAGGATGTCGTGTGGTGTAGCTGGATCACTGAAGAGTAGCCGGGGTAGATTGCCTAATCTCTCCGGGAGAATCGATAGCGATGCCGACTCGTATAATGCGAGACCGGAGATGTGAGGGCGCAGCCCATGCTCGAGATCAGCCAGGTATAGCGATTGCTGCGTATTCTCAAGGGGCAGCACCGGCGCAAAGTATGCTGATTTTGGCCGACTTTCTTCTGGTACTGTTCGACCATAGAGCTGCTCCGTTGCATGCGAAGTAAATGCATGGGTTCTATCAGCCATCTTTGCCCTCCTCTTCGAGCCGGGAGTTTGTCCCTGGACCAAGTCTGCTAGTCCCACCACGATGTCCGGCCGTAGCCTCTGTACTGCTTCCACATACTCACCAGCCTCTAGCTGCCTGAACCCGACCGACGTCAATATGGAGATTGAATTAGGCGTGTTATTGGGGGGACAGACGATCGAAGGCACCCGTCGCGGACCGAGAATGAGCAGGAAATCCTCAGGAAGACTGATGAACTTGCGCAAGGCCGATTCATGCGGCGCAGTTGGCACATTGTATATCGGCGGGGTTCCCTTCCGGAGCGGTCCTGTATGCGCTTGCTTTTCTATGACTGATCTGAGCCCCAGTGGGCATCGAACATCGTCAGCGTCTATTTTCCTTGTTTGATTATCGCGAGTCGAATGCAAGATCAATGCGGACATGAACCTACAATCCTCGAGACCAATAAACAGGCTGCCGATCGCAGTCTCATCGCGCATAACATCATGCGCAATATGAGGTACAGCCCCTCGCGACGTTAGCGGAATGTAATTGGGCGTCGAGATGGCTTTTCTGCCCGCAAAGGCCAAATTTCCCAGCCGCGGGGCTAGGATCGGGGCAGCTGCAGGACTGAGAAGAGTGAAATTGGCCATCTCATCCGGAGACTGCGACGATGCTCCAGGTAAGCTCATGACGATCGACAAGACGGGCGAGGTCGTGCCAATGTCGTTCGTTTTGCGACTGGAGATCTGGTGAGGTAAGAAAGGGACGTGGAGATAAACGATCGACGATACTAGTACGTAGCCATTATTGATCAATCCGCTAGACATCGGAGTTTCTTTTGTTTCCCCACCGCGTTTCGTGTGCCACAAACACATCAGCCAATCCTCCCCTGTTCTCAATCACAATCAGACAGTATTGATTGACGCTCCAATCGATATTCCTTCAAAGCAGTTTTGCTATTTCTTCGACAAGAAGCAATTCGGACAAGATGAACAGTCAGCGGAAACGCGGAGCTCTCATTGTTGTTGAAGGTCTGGATCGAGCCGGCAAATCGAGCCAATGTGAACGCCTACGTGACTCTTTACAAGCATCAGGGCTCTCAGTGAAGTATATTCGATTTCCAGGTATCTATTTCTTCTTAATTTTGTAGGGAAACTCCCTTTTCTGATCGTGCCTTAGATCGAACAACACCCATTGGAAAGTTGATAAATAGCTATTTACAAGGCCAGTCGCAATCGGATGACCATTCGATTCATCTCCTCTTCTCAGCAAATCGCTGGGAGATTGCGAAGAGCATTGAGGATGACATAGCCAACGGCATCAGCGTCATAGTAGACCGCTACTCCTACTCTGGTGCCGTTTACTCGGCTGCAAAGGGCAATCGGAACCTGTCGCTGCAGTGGGCATGGCAGCCAGAAATCGGATTGCCGCAGCCGGATATGTGCCTCTTCCTCCGCATATCCCCCGAAGAAGCAGCAAAGCGTGGCGGATTCGGGGTCGAGCGCTATGAGAATGAAACGATGCAAACCCGCGTGCGTGAGCTATTCCAAACGCTCTTTGACCGCCAGCAGGGTGATTACATTCACGCAATCGATGCCGGAAGGTCCTTCGATGCAGTGTCGCAGGATATTTTGAAGATAGTGACGAACTATATCGAGAGACTGGATGTCATGGGGCCTTTGAAGAGGCTGGGACCAATCGCAAACTAAGGCAAGGCCTCATGTGTCCCGGTAGAACTGGGGAAAAAGGAAACTTATTCACAGAATTTCTGAGTCGTCACCCTCGCTGTCCTCGATAACAGTTTCCAGTTTCGGGGCAGCTTTCGAGAGGGTCTTCAGCCGAAGATCCGTGTCGGAGTCTGACTCTGATGCCAATCCTTCTAACCAGTCTTCATCCAGAAGAAGTTCATCTTCGGCATCTTGACTGAAATCATCGTCTAAATCGGCTGATGCGGATCTTAGACTCGACGAGTCAAATCCTCTATCGGCGACCTTGCCAGTCATGTCATTGTGTTTTCGATCGGCTCTTCTCTTCCGTTTCAAAATTGCCAGCAGCTCTTGTTTCCCGCGACTCCGAAAGCTCAACTCCTTCATCATCAATGGCCATTCGACAGTGGCCTTACATCCAGGACAAATCCCGTGCCTTGGAATGAATTGGTTTGGCTCCTGGGCCGCATCAAGGAATTTTCTTGATAGGCATAGTAGATGGCAGGTACAGTGGCATTCCGCCTGTGGGCAGACAATTGTCAACTCTTCCTTTGGGACGATTTGCCCTTGGCATACTTGACAGCGCACGTCTTTTGGGTCATCGAGAAGGAATATGGCTTTCTCTATATAGTCTCGGATTGTAGTATAGGTGCTCTTGGCATTTTCGACGGCACCAAACCTGGTGCCATTCCCATCGGCGTGTGCGCCAATCTCAGGACAACTCCCGTCCAAGATGACCTTGACAGGGCTCGGAAGACGAACATCAACTCGATCATACCAAGCTTTCCAAGATTGATAAACGTCGTCCGAAAAGAATCGCATTTTTAGAGGCCAGTGAGAGAAGTATGTCGACCTCAATAGACGATGTAAATCGGCGAAATGGGTGTTGAGGGACCTCCGGGGTCGACGACGTCTTCTGCTTTTCTTAGGCGTCCCCTGGTCTTTGGACTCAACTGAGTCGCAATTAGAATCGAGAGACTCAGGGTCCTGAGCTTTCCTCTTTTTTCTGGGCTTGACCTCCGCAGAAGCTGAGCTTTCTTCCTCTGATCGCAAGTGGCGCGAGTACCAAGGATTTTGCCAAGCCCATCTTTGGAGGCGTTAGATTCTGCTCGCAAGATAAATAGGGAGAGACGTACTCGAACTGCAGAGCTCCAAGCCGGCTTGTAAAACCTTCGACCAACAGAACCATCTCCCACGGCCTCAGCTTCTCGGCCGCAGTCCGACGAGCACCTCCCTTGACAACGCCATTGTGCTGTATGAGCCGTCTTGCAGGATTGGGCGTGGATCCGATATAGAGAGATGCATGTCGCACAGTCGAGCGGAGTAGATAGCAGCAATAGAAAGCTGGAATGGGCCTTGAATGCTCTATCTGGATGTCATCCATGGCACTGTTCTCTGTAACTTGAAGTCGGAGGCGACGTCAGATAAATGGGTATTTGGCCTGGAGATTTTAAAGCCTTTCGAGCTGAAGGCTTTGAGTCGACATTCCTCCTCATTCAATTCAAACAACAATAGAACGACCAATAGCGCTATAGACGGCCAGTCTTGTCGATATCAGGTTTTTGTTCTTCTATTCCATTGACAATTGTTGTTGATGGTTCAACATCAACAAAGCAAATCACATGATGAGTGTGAGAGATTACAACATTACCACTTCTGCCTAAGGCAGCATCACATCACGCAAACTACTAACACATTATTCCCTGCCAACAGCTGGAAATGACAAGAAGAAAACCTTACAAATAAAATATAATCTGCAATGCCACCCAGCCAGGTAATTACTATACATGTGTAGAGTCCTAGGGCTCTACAGTATGGCGAAAAGCTGCCAACCCCCCCACCGCGAAGACACCCAGATTCATCCAAGCTCTGGGTTACCAGGGATAAGCTTGAAATGAGATGTGACGTGAGAACAAAGGGTCTTCTTGACTTCAGTGAGTTGGTCACAATGACGATAAAAGATGCTCTTCACAAAGACAAGGGATTACAGCCCTGGGCCATATCTAATCTATGTTATTATTATTGTCATTAAGTCTTCTGAAGAAATAATAATGATTGTGGTTGCATGCGGACCATAGTTGGCATGTCATGGCTCTTTAGCACTTCCTTAACCTAACTAGGTAGGTAAGGTATTGGTAATTAAATACCTGAGTAACGCAAATACCGGGCTCGTGTAAGAATTGTGACCATGAAACTAAAGGTACCTTATGGACCTCGGACCTCAGGGACCTCAGGACTGAGGTGCAAACCTAATGTAAGATTTGTGCGGACTACCTAAAGTAGTTTACAGCCTCATGCTATTCTCCATAGGTCACCACTAGAGGTCACATGAGAAATTAAAGTCCGCAGCAGCTTATACTGCTGAGAACTGTATATCAGATTGCCTAATAAGCTAGAGAACAGACAAAATTCATGTCATTTGCAAGAGCCGACTGTAGCCCCCATGGAGTACTTCGACAGAGAGGTATGTACGGAGTATGGAAGGTACCTTACCTTACCTTACCGGCCTACCTGGTAAAATACCTATGTACCTACCTTACCTTACGGTTGAGGTGGTACCCTTACCTATGGAGTATGTACCCTATGGGCCGATGTGGGCAGGTATGCATGTGGCTAATGAAATAGGTACGAATTTAACTGCAGGAAGTAGGCTTACTCTTCATGAAAAGAGGTCTTGCCAGTCTTTTACATTTAAGGTAATACCTTAGAATCTGGACAGAAGACTTGCTAAGGTATCATCCGTTTGCGGCATCCATTGTAGACATGATACAGTAATGTAATGACCAGTATCGTTTCCCTCCCTATGTAATGCTCATTATTACCTCTACCTTACCTAAGGTATCCATGGAAGGGTTCGCTACCAGCCTCAGGCCATGAGGCTGCGACTGCGCGGCATCAGGCAGGCATGAGGCAGGACGCAAACCATTGATCGATCGAATCTCTCCATCATTGGTCTCTGCCCTTTCCGCTTCGGGGCGTCGTCCATCTCGATCTCAAGTATCACTTTTTTTTTTTTTTCCCTGCTTTGTCTTCGTAGTATTCATCTTTCGTCTCTTTTAATCTTTCTTTAAGCATCCGGAAACCGTACATCGCTTTTTCCTCTCTTTTTGACTCGTCGAAACTCGCTTGGCCCCTTCTACTTGCTCGTCCTACACTCTCCTACGAGTTGTAGTACTAGTAGTACATACCTCGTAGTAGCAGCAGGTGGTTTGATCGATTATCGGATACCTAGGTATAGCTACACTAGCTACACTTGCTACACCTGCCTGACCGGCTCACTACTATCGCTTACTAGATAGTAAGTACCTAGTGAGATGTGTTTAAACGGCAAACTCTACGTACCCTTCGTCCTCACTGACTAGTGCTAACTTCACCTTATTAAGGTATTGATTGCTCGGGCTAGAGACTAGACTGCTTCCAACCACCGTACTTGACTGACCTGCTTGTTCCCTCTTCCGAGATTCTCCACACTAACCCTCCCGGGACCATCTCGGTCTCGCCTTTACTTCTCTCTCTCTTTCTCTCCTCTCATCCTTCGCTCGCTCTACTAGTGTCAAGTACTATTTCTCCGTCTCGATCATCACCTCCTCCCATCTCCCGATTTGCTACCCATATTTTATTCAGAAGACACTCACTCATTCTACAATACAATAACCAAGGGGACAATTGTCGTTTGTGTTCGACTCTTCCTTTCATCTGATTTAGTCCTCAATGCCCTTTTCGCATCGGACACCCTCTCCCTTCCGTCCGCGATAGATCACGCGCAGAATTCCCTTTTGTCCTCCGGCTAGCTGTCGCTCCCTAGAGATGGTGGCTCCGGCCTCTACGGGCGCGAATTCGACAGGCGTACAGCCTTCAGCGAACCGTCAGCCCACTCGATCCTCTAGCACCCACCCGTCGCATTCCCATAATGTACCCTTGAGCGCTCGAAGGTCGGCACCCCTCGACTTATCTACGGTCGAACGACGAGGACAGCCCAATGCTCCTCGAGAGCCCAGCAAACGAATCCGTCCCCATGGCTTACAGGAAGCTCCGACGTTCCGTCCGACAGAGGAAGAATTCAAGGATCCCTTGGAATACATCCGCAAGATAGCGCCCGAGGGCAAGAAATATGGAATCTGCAGAATCATTCCACCAGAGAATTGGCAGCCACCGTTTGCGATTGACACAGAGGTATGCGGGTTGTCCTCTCATCCCTGTGCTCGCTACTACACCCCGTTCCATCCCCCTAATTCTTAGAGGCGACGGAATCACCATCGGGAAGATCCGATGCTAACTTCTACCCCCGTTCCAGCGATTCCACTTCAAGACTCGTCGGCAGGAGCTCAACTCGGTTGAAGGAGGTATGCCCCCGCGTTCAGCCACTTTCGCTGCCGGTGCAACTCCGCAGCCTAGTTCTGACCCGGACTCAGGAACCCGTGCAAACTTGAATTACCTCGACCAGCTGGCCAAGTTTCACAAACAACATGGTACCAACCTGAACCGATTCCCTAGCGTGGACAAGCGCCCCTTGGACCTGTATAAGCTCAAGAAGGCCGTCGAAATACGGGGCGGTTTCGACCAAGTCTGTAAAATGAAGAAATGGGCTGAGATTGGGCGTGATCTCGGGTACAGCGGCAAGATCATGTCCTCCCTGTCCACCTCACTCAAGAATTCGTATCAGAGATGGCTTCAGCCTTACGAGGAATACCTCCGTGTGGTCAAACCGGGAGTGCAGCAGCAACTGGAGCTAGAACATGGTGGTCCGTACACACCGTCTCCGAACCAGTCGCCCATGGCTAAGAAGCCCGTCTTGTATGACCACATCACACCATCCGCTACGCCCCAGGCACCTCTGAGTATTCCGGCTGCTGGTAGTCTCCAGGGTACCCCAAGGGAAATTGAGGCCACACCTGATAACCCTACCCCTCCGGTCGATTCCGCACCTCCTCGGCCTGTTGCGTCCGGCTTCACCCCTGTCAATGCCGGTAGCGGCGGTTTTACTGCTGTCAATCGGTCTCCATCCTTCATCGCCGTGAATAGCGGCCCAGTTGTCAAGAAAGAAGCCGAGACTGGCTCGCTTACGCCGCAAAGCGTTGCCGAACACCCTCAAAGCTCGACACCTCTTCCCAACGGCAATGGAAGCCATCCCATGAAACGCGCCATCAGCCATGAAAGTGGCTCCCAGACTGAAGGTGGGGAAACAGACGGTGGGAGTGGGCGAAGGAGCAAGCGCCTTCGAAAGGGTAAGCATGTGTTTGTCAACGTCTGCCGTGGCCCTATTTGTCTGACTTTCCGCTAGATGCACCACCTCCACCCACCGTCGCGGGTTCACACATGAGCCTCCTCCGTCCTGCTCCGCCTCGGGCACGCAAAAGCGACAGTCGGAAGATCGGTGATGTAAGCATAAAATTCTTTGGATCACTGAATTCGTAACACTTATTGACTGTGCTTAGAAATGCGAAGTTTGTGGCAAGTCCGAGGATCGACCTTCGATACTTGTGTGCGACAGTTGTGACCAGGGTTACCACAGAGACTGTCTTGATCCTCCTTTGACGACTATCCCCGAGTACGACTGGCACTGCCCCAAGTGCCTGGTGGGCACAGGCGAGTTCGGGTTTGAAGAAGGCGGAGTCTACTCGCTCAAGCAATTCCAGGAGAAAGCGAACAGCTTCAAGAAGAATTATTTCGCCTCCAAGATGCCATTTGACCCGGTGCTTAATACTCACCGGCGAGAGTCTGAGGATGACGTGGAACGCGAATTTTGGAGACTGGTTGAGAGCTTGACCGAAACCGTAGAGGTTGAGTACGGCGCGGACATTCATTCGACAACACACGGCAGTGGCTTTCCCACAATTGAACGCAATCCACTTGATCCATATTCAACAGATCCCTGGAACTTGAATGTCCTTCCTTTCCACGGCGACTCACTTTTCCGTCATATAAAGTCGGACATCTCTGGTATGACAGTTCCCTGGGTTTACGTCGGGATGTGCTTTTCGACGTTCTGTTGGCACAACGAGGATCACTATGCCTACTCGGCCAATTATCAGCATTTTGGCGCAACGAAGACTTGGTATGGTATTCCTGGTTCCGACGCAGAAGCATTCGAAGAGGCCATGCGCCAAGCGGTTCCCGAGCTTTTCGAGGGTCAGCCTGATCTACTTTTCCAACTCGTCACCCTGATGCCACCCGACCAGCTGAGGAAGGCTGGTGTGAACGTATACGCTCTTGATCAACGGGCTGGACAATTTGTCATTACCTTCCCCCAGGCGTACCATGCTGGTTTCAATCACGGATTCAACTTCAATGAAGCCGTGAACTTCGCCCCTGCGGATTGGGAGCCTTGGGGCGCCATGGGAGTCGAGAGACTTCAGGCTTTCCGCCGCCACCCGTGCTTCTCCCACGATGAACTGTTGCTGACGGCAGCCGCTCGGGATACTTCGATTACGACGGCGAAATGGCTAGCTCCGGCTCTTCAACGGACATGCCACCGAGAGCTTGCGGAGAGAGCAGCATTCATCCATCGACATCGGGAAATAGCACCGCACAACTGCGCACTTAGTTCATCGGACCCCGCAGCTTCTGGTGAATGCCAGCTGAAGTTCGTGGTTGAGGAAGAAGACCTTCCAGAAGATGACTACCAGTGTCAGTATTGCAAGGCCTATGCATACCTGACGCAGTTCCGTTGTCACAAGTCTGGCAAGACAGTGTGCCTGCTACATGCGGAGGCTTTCGATTGCTGCGGAGACTCACCCACTCAGCGACTGTTGGGCCCAGACCATACACTGCGTTACAGGGTGAGTGACGACACACTGAAAGCCCTAGTGCAGAAGGTCCAGGAGCGTGCCAGGATCCCGGAAGCGTGGGGGGAGAAGCTCGACAAGGTTCTGGAAGATGAGCCGAAACCCCAACTGAAGGTCCTTCATAGCCTACTAAGCGAAGGTGAGAAAATCCCATACCACCTGCATGGTCTCCAAGATCTCGCGGCCTTCGTCCAGCGCTGCGATAAGTGGGTTGAAGAAGCAACCAACTACATCACCCGGAAGCAGCAAAACCGGAGGAAAAACGAGAAGGCTTGGCGCAAGAGTACTTCTAAGGCCGCGCAGCTGGAGGAACGTGATCGTGAAGTTCGCAGGATAGAAAACATGTACGCCCTTCTTGCAGAGGCTGATAAACTTTCCTTCGACTGTCCACAGATGGCGGCTCTGGAAGAGAAAACCCGCGAGATCGAGAAATTCCGCCAGGACGTTAACGTTGCCCTTTTGAACCCCCATATACGGTCGATCCAGGAAGTGGAAGATTTGGTGGAATCGGCGCGCAATTTCAATGTGGAAATACCCGAAGTGGAAGGATTGGAGCATATTCTTCGACAAATGAGGTGGAATGATGAAGCGCGTCGCAAGCGTGATCAGTACCTGACTCTTAAGGAATGTCAAGAACTCATCCAGGCTGGCGAGCAATTGGGACTCTCCGAGACCAACGAACAACTCAGTCACTTCAAGGAGTTGTGCCGCCATGGTGAGACTTGGGAAGCGAAAGCCAAGGAGTTGATGTCTGTAGAATCGGTTCACTATCAACAACTCGAAGCCTTGTCTGCGCAGGCGCTACGCTTCCCTGTTTCTCCTGAAACACTCTCAGCTGTCGATGCGATATTGACCAAACAGCGTGAAGCGCAGAAGAAAATACAGAGTCTATACGAGCGGAGCAAGAATCCAGATTTCAGAAAGCGTCCGAAGTATAAAGAAGTCCGTGAACTGATGGATTCTCTCGAGGCATTGAATAGCCGGCCCACGGGAGCAATCGACCTGGAGCGTGAGCAGAAGCGTCACGAAGACTGGATGCGAAAGGGGAAAAAACTATTCGGGAAAGCCAACGCTCCTTTACATATCTTGAAATCTCACATGGAGTACGTGGAAAAGAGGAATTCATATTGCTTTGATTTGGAAGATCGCTGTCGGCCGCCTGTGGAGCCGTCGTCTCGAGGTAACACCCCCGAAGGTCTTTTGGAGAACCACGCCGCCATCACCACCACTACTACCACCACTAGCATGTGGGGTGGTGGGAAGTCTCGAAAGCGGGATGTCTTCTGCATTTGCAGGCATTCCGAGGCTGGAATGATGATTGAATGTGAGGTCTGCCATGAGTGGTGAGTGTTTACTTCTTTCTTACCTGTAGCTGCAAGCTGGCTGACCTCGGGATTTGTAGGTATCACGGTAAATGCTTGAAGATCGCAAGGGGCAAAGTCAAGGAGTTTGACAAGTATACTTGTCCCATCTGCGACTGGCGACACAAGATTCCCCGAGACGCTGCTCGCCCGAAGCTCGAGGATCTCCAGGATTGGCAAGCCGAAATCCCAGGCCTCCCTTTTCAGCCTGACGAGGAACAAATTTTGGAGAATATCATCAACCAAGCGACTACCTTCCGTGATTTTTTACAGAGCTTTACCAATGCGGCCTGCACAACGACGGAAGAGGTGCCTACGTTAATCTTCTACCTGCGCAAGATCGAGGGTGCCGAGGTGTTGTTGGCGTATGAGACGAATTTCTTCCGCCAAGAGATCCATAAATGGGCACCTGTTGCCCCGGAACCGCCTCCAATACTGGAGCAGTCCCTGTCGACGCGCAAACCACGCCCAACAAAGCAGCAAAAAATTATGGCGCAATTGGGCGTCGAGCGCCCAGAAGATCTTCCTCCTCATCTGCGTACCAAGCAACCGAATCACACGAAGCGAAAGTCTCTCGAATCGCAAACACCTCGACCTGCAGTACTGCAGTCTACACCTCATACTCCCGGTGAGGACTCCAATCGCACTGGGCCAACTTTGACTCCCATGACGGATGCACAAAATCCTCCATATCCTTTCTCTGCCAATTACTCTCTTCCTGCTAGCGACTCTACACCAGCATTTGCACCTGGACCGTCTGCATTCCTGCCACATGTTTCGGCGCACTCTCCCTCTTTCCCTCCGCGGTCTCCATCACCGCATCATGGGCTTGATAGCGCTCTGTTCAGCTCTCCTCGGTTTGACCGAGATCCTACCGAGGGACCTCCAGGAGTTGCCGTTGACCATCAGGACCCTTTTGACAGCAGTCCTCGACAGAATCTGGATGATGTTTTCGCAGATTTGACGAACCAAGATGTGGAACCCGAGCCAGAACCGGAGCCTATGGAGAACACGCATGCTAACGAAGCATTGGAGGCTCTCGATGCGAGTAATGGTGGGGACCACTCTGACACCACGCAAGACGACGACTCTCATGATACTGGATTAGATGGTGACATGAACGGTCAAGCCGACGCCGAAGACACTGCAGAGAGTTCTTGATAGGACCATATAAAATGTTTGCCTGCCCGAATTGAAGCACTGTTCCGATAAGCTTTCTCAGTTCGGCAACCTTTCTAATTCCACGAATTCCTATCTCTTTTTCCACATCTGGGTTTGCTCCGACAATATGGGGATGTTTAAGTTCACATGGGGCTTGTTTTCACTTTTTAGAAGGGCATTCTAGCGGCGTTTGAATCCGAACTGGCGACTCGGCGCGGCGTTTGTTATACGAGGTTTTCCTTTGCCTTTTCTTTTCTTTTTTTTTTTTTTTTTTTTTTCGCTGATGACTCTTCTGCTTGTTGATCTCTTTGTGACGATGCTCTTCTGAATGCTTCATGTGCTCTGTACGTTAGTTGCTTCCTTTTGCGCATGGTGGCGCGCATGGTGTATGAAGAGGGTGGGGAGTTAGGTTATTTTCTCATCTGCGTTGTTTATTTCTTTCAGTGTCTTCATGGTTCTATATACTCTTACGACCCCGCGGAGGCTGATCCCTGATGGATGATGAGTGAAATCGCTGTCGTTTCTGTGATTCTACCATTCTTCGGCCTCTCTGCTTCTTCGCGCCGATAGCTCTCTTGGGTGCGTTTCCATGTAATACTAGCTAAAATACCTTATTTTGTATCTCTTATCAATAGAATCAGAGTCTTGATCTCATCGTTTACTCCCTTGCCCCTATGATTCGACCAGGTCTGCATAGGCGCCTAAGGCGGCCTGTCCTCCAGTGTGGATGAAAAGCAAATTCATGGAGTCAGGGCGGTCCCAGTTCCGCGTATGGAGAGACCAGTCCTTTACGAGGTCCCCTTGCTGGACCCAGTGTGCAAGTCCCCGTATGACCTTTGCAGTGTATACGGGATCGAGTATTATTGCTTCCCTTTGTGCCATCAAGTCCAGCGCCGTGCTTGTCTGTGGGTCTAGAACTCCATATGCGGTGCCAACGAACCGATCATCAAGCCGAACATCCTCCATGGAAATGTCATTTCCAGGATCCAACCCAATAAGACCAGCTGCTCGACGGGCAAAGGCGAGTACCCGACCCTCATGGTACTTCCGAGGCTTCGTAGGCGAAGTCAAGATCCCGATGACTTTCCGAGGTGGTTTAGTCGACCCGCTTCTGCCTTCCACCTTCTCCAACAGCTTAAGGCCGGCGATCAAACCACCCACTGTACTGCCACTACCGCAAGCGACGAAGATGTAATCAAAACGCCCGCTCCCATTCAACTCCTGTGCCTGTTCTTGCATCGCAATCTCAAACGCACACCGCGCATAACCTAATCCACCGAGAGGATGCAGACTCGCCCCGGAGGGGATCCAATACGGCGCCTTACTCTCCCCGCGTAATTCCTCCAGAATCCCAGGGATTGGGTCTTCTTCCCCGTCCGCCGGCACAGTCGACGACTCAAGTATCCTCACCTCCGCCCCGAGGAGGCGGACAAGTTGCGCGTTTCCCGAGCGGAGGAACGAAGCTTTGTCCGTTGCGGCGGCTAAGCCGCCACCTGTGCCTTTGTGCAGGACGATAACTGCCTCGAGGCCGAGTCGGTTCGCCACCGCGGCGACCTGCACGGTGTGGTTGCTCTGGACCGCGCCCTCGGTGACGAGGGTTGGTGGGGTTCCATTGGGACGGCTGTGAGGGGCGAGGATGTCGGGGACGATGTATTCGAGCTTGCGGTATTTGTTCCCTGCGCAGGCAAACGGAGAGGAGTGGTCTTCTCGTTTGGCGTAGAGGGAGATATAGGGTGCTTTGGTTGTGTCGTTGTTGTTGTTGAGGTATGCGGATAGAAGAGTGAGGGGGTGGATCGGGGAGGGATGAGGGTATAGCAAGGGATACCGAGGAATCTGAGCAAATGCTGTGGGTAGAGAGACTGCCATTTCGAAGGGTAGACGTAGAAAATGTATGAAGATGGACTACTCGTGGACATTGACTGAGATATATACTAGGGTTGTTTATGCACACAAGGGTATCTAAATGGTTGATTAGTCGACTGAACGGGAAAATCCGCAGGGATTGAGGCTTACCATGTCAATAACAATATCATCAATATATACATTCACCCGGAACCGATGCCAAACCTGGGATTGGAAGGTATCTTTGAGCGTTTAGATGCAGTCCAGTGGATTGCTGACCAGGCGGTGTCGTTTTGCTGATGATGTCAACTATCACGAGCTTCCCTTTTGGGATTTTAATCACCACCACGAATCCCACTGCGATCGCGAAGCAGGATGGCTCGCTCTCCGCCCTCCTTGCAGAGCCTATTGCGATTTCTAAAGCAGGCGCGTCAGACACATCTGAGTTTCATTTCCGAAGCTTTATCATCCTCCTCGCGGACAGAGCCTCCCATCTACGTGGTGGGAAATCCTTCGGCCGATCTTGACTCCACCATCTCTGCCATTGTCTATTCTTACTTTGCTCATAATCGCACTCCAATTGAATCCCCTCGACCTCATATTCCCCTGATAAATCTACCAAATGTTCCCTCTGGTCCAGAACTGCGCAGACTCCGTCCAGAGTTCGTAAAAGCTTTCTGCCTCGCTACTACAACTCCCTCAGCAGAGGGAGACGACGTATGGGACGAGACCCCCGAAACAGCAGGAACAATCCTCCACGAACACATTCTCACCGTCGCAGACTTTGCAGCCCATCTTAGGCAATATCACGCTGAACACGCGGACCATCGGTTGACCGCAGATGTCACGCTCGTGGACTGGAACGCACTACCCCACCGATCGCCCACCGGCCAACGGGGAAAGGGATCGTTAGATGGCTTGCCCTCCATCGACTTCTGCACAGTGGGCTGCATCGACCACCACGTTGACGAAGGCTTTCTCCCGCCCGTCGAGTCCCTCCCACGCGGTCAGCCGCTGCTTGTGCGGCCCGCGGGCTCATGTACCTCACTTGTGGTCTCGACACTGCGAGAGCTGGACCTCTGGCAGGCTAACACCGAAGGAAACGTCACCTCGTCTACGTCAACTGAGACGATGCAACTCGCTAAGCTCGCCCTAGCCCCTGTCCTCATTGATACGACCAACCTTACCGCCAAGGATAAAGTCACCGACGCCGATACAGACGCAGTACATTTCCTCATCTCCCAAATGGACCGGTGCAAGTCTACACTCGGCTCAACCTGGGACCGTGAAGCCTTCTACGAGCAAATCCTCGACGCAAAGCAAAACAGCCTCGATTTACTCACCGTAGACGAGATCCTCGGCCGAGACTACAAGCAATGGACCGAGACAGCCCGCCAGAACGCTAGTTCCGTTCAGATCGGCTTCTGCTCGATGGTCAAGTCGATTCCGTGGATTGTACGGAAAGCAGGAAGTCCGGAGGCGTTCCTGGATGCCCTGCAGACATTTGCAAAGCGCCGTGAACTAGGGATCGTGGTGGTCATGACGGCGTTTACCTCGCATGCGCAGGACGGCAGGTTCTGTCGCGAGTTGGTTGCCTGTGCTCTGGACGATGGGCCGGCGGTTCAGGCGCTGGAGGCGTTTACTGCGCAGGCTGGCTCGCGGCTGGGGTTACAAGAATGGAACTCGCTCGAGGGTGACTCTGAGGATGATTCGCAGGCTATCAAGTCTGCTTTCAACAGTGATGCCCCGGTATGGAGGCGTATCTGGCATCAGATGGATGTGACCAAAAGCAGGAAACAGGTCGCTCCGTTGGTGAGAGGTGCCCTTACAGGTCAATGACAGATTCCATGAGTCCAAAATTTGCATTCATGGAAGGGTAATTGATGGCAATTAGCCACTTTGTCCGTTGAATGTCTTATTTCGCACAATGATCAATTCCTCGAGGTCTCTTCATTTCTGAGACCTCAAAAGTCTGCACAAGCAAAGGGGGAAATCTATGATTTGGCTTGCCGCGCCTGCGAACAAGCATGCTCCATTCAAATTCACACAACATGATGATGCACATACAGAATGTTTACAAAAAAAAAAAAAAAATCTTACATGCCAACACCGCTCCCCATGACCGGTGTCCCATCAACTCCGAACACATAAACGCGAGTAGGTTTACATCAGTGTAGTCCCATCGAAAGATTGGACATGCAGAAGAAATAAAATCAGATGCAGCAGATGAACAAATGCCCCGACCCGGTGTAGCCGATGCAAATGCAAACATGGCGTAAAGAGAAATGCAACAAACAGCTGACCCAAAATGCGAAAATACGCCTGGTAGTCACATCGTCCACACGCCATGAATTGGCTCATAGATTGGACGAAAGTCCGTTCATCATATCAAGACATAAATGCTTGTCGTATCTAGAAACATTCCCATTCACAGAAAACGCACCACCGGGCAACGCGGTCGGCGAGCACGAGTCCCCTCCAAGTCCCGCGCTCCCCGATCTTGATCACCGTCTCCCACACGCTGCCATCGGCGGTGGGATCCGACGAAGAATCGTTGCTGATCATATGATCTGCCTTGCGAGTGAGCCGGAGGATCTTGCCGGACGGCGACTGGATTGCCAGCTTGGCCGGTTTTTCCCGCCCGGACGATGACCTGGTGGACGATATGGCCGAAGTAGAGGCCGAGAATTCGTTTGAAACTGCAGAGACAGAAGACCCGCCAGCGGAGCTGGAAACCATACTGAGTGCACTCGCGGGCCGGGCAAAAATCGACGGCGAGACGCGCCCACTAGGACCCAAATCGCCGCCGTTCGTCAGGGAAGGCAGCGAGGAAGGATGCTGCCGCACTGCAAACACAAATGTATTGTTGACCGCAAGTTTCGCGCACTGAGGCTGTATGATGTACAAGTCGTGCCGCTGAGCATGAGGCGTCGGGTGGCGTAGGACAAACTCATATGGAGGGTTCTCGCCTGTGTGGATTATTGGAAGGGCAAGTGCCAGCGGATGGGGAATGTCTTTGCTTGAGTGCATCAGGCCCTTCTTGCCAGCGTAGATTTTAACTGTGCCTTGCCCTTCATCACCGGGCAAAACAGCTTTTACAGTAAAGCGTTTCTGACCGCCGACCCAGTCTGGCTGGACCAGGGCGCGCTTGCGAACAACCTCACCACTCTCGAAGAAGTCACCGTCAGCATCACAAGCGAAAGCGGGCGCCTCGACTTCTGCCGCACATTCCACGTCCGGCGGCACGAGGAGGCGGATTTGCAGAAGCTCCAGTCCTTCAATTCTGATCAGGCTGGTATCATAGTCTGGAAACTGCAGGTTCATCTTAAAGTAAGGTGGGCACGCTGCCGGAAGGGCTAGCAACACATCTGGAGAGATGGGTGGACATATGTGTTGCTCCTCTGGATGCAATGGCACATGGGTATAGCAGATCTCAAGCGGACGTGCCAGGAAATACCAGCTTTCCGCTGTTGACGAGCCACTGGTTACGAACTGATTCCTTCGCGGGTTGGTCGGGCTTGCCAAAGAACAATCGATAACTCGCCATTCGCCATCGACCAAGACTGTATTCCACCAGTGGTTCGGCCGCGAAAGGCTGTCCAGCTCGAACAATTCACCAGGTGTTTTGAGGAACCCTTGGACTACTTCCGCATGAAGACCGACAGCCGCGCACATCTCCTTGACAAGGAACGCGATTTCCTGAGGACTTCCTCGTCTAGTTTGCAGAATCCGTTTCAAGTCAATCCCGATCTCCTCCACAGGCTCGTCCCAGGCGATTTTTTCGCTGACCCAAGTGAAGATAGCTCGCAATCTCTGAACATCGCTCTTGTAAGGTCGGCACACGTAGCCCTGAGCAAGGCTCATCGGGTTGGTCATCGGCGGAAGGCTGTTGACAAACCGAGCACTTTTATCGACGAGGCTCAAGTTTACCATGTTGAAGTTGGTGGGCTCGCTGATCGGCAGCCCGTCAATACTTTCATCACCTTCTGCATTTTCGTGAAGCTCCTCCACCGCGTAGATCACAGGATGATCCATCATCTGGCAGCGCTCGGCTCTTTCGATACGTTCGTTGCGGCTCGGCGAGCTTGCTCGATTCACGTCACGCCGAACCTGCACCCAATCTACCGCTCCACCTGCATCGCGAGTCGAGTCACGTCTAATTGGAGACACTGCCCTGCCTTTTGTAGGTGAATAGGATCCACCGTTGTGTCCTACAGCAATACTGCTTCTGGCATTAGCGGCACCGGTCTTGGCTGATTCGAAAATCTTCTTGAAAAAACCATGCTTCTTCGCTTTAGGAGTGGATAGACCGCCAAAAACAGCGGTGGATTCGCTGGAATCGGCAGCAGGAGGAGACCACGGTATAGCAGAAGAGGCACCTTGCCGAGAGGTGTTGTGACTTGAGTGGTACGATATACCAGTAAGAGGTGTCTCAGGTCGAGACATGCGAGAAACATCGCTGAAGCCTCTTGAGCGAAAGGTTTCCATGGCCGTGTTTGGCCTTTCGTTACTGGTCGTCAGTCCTCGCCTGGCATAACTCCCTGCACTTGTTGCGCTGAATGCGCCCGCCGAGGGACCACTCATCAAGCTCGGGCTCGTCTGTTCTGTGCTGGCTGTCATAGTCGTACTGATACTTTGCACACCGCTCGAAGAAGTGGTGGTACTGGATTTATTCGTGTAACTTCTATTGAGAACGTCTTCTCTCAAATCCTGCCCCGACCTTCGACTTCTCAGGTATGGATACTGGGCAGGAATTGAATTATGCCTTCCGTGCTGAGCGAGGTGTTTAGGTGGCGGGGGTGGAGGCTCTTCGTCATCCTCCGGAGGCTGTATGTCTTCCGATCCTCTGCGACTCTGTTCCTGCATCTGACGCAGTCGGCTTTCCATTCTCTGCACGTAGTTGTTCAATTGCGGCGGCCCGTCAAGGTAGTGGTCATGCCCGTACATGGTGTTTCGATGTATGTGACTGTCGCTGAACTGGTAATCCTGTTCGCCTTCGAAACCAAGGGATGTCAAAGGTCGGT